GGGCACCGCGAGACAGAGGATGGACACCTCTTGCTTAGATAGAAGAGAAGTGGGTTAGGACAGGGACAGATGCTGGGCCAATTGAGAGCATCCATGTCTGATGGCCCCTATATTTTGTCCAGAAGAAGGAGAGACCAATGGCTAAGAATTAAGCTGGAGAGATGTGGGCGGGGTATTCATTCGTGGAATATCAACCTCCGTGCTCATGGTATACACGAGCCACACAGCATCCCCATCCTCTTCGAAGGCAAGAGGTTTCACATGTCCCGATGTGCTTTATCTTTCAGAGTTGTGGAAAGTAAAAACTCAGCCTTTCCCACAGGAACTGTAGTATTGGCTTCTTCAGGCTGGACATCACACTCCATTTCTGACGGAAAAGAACTAGAGAAGATGCCGGAAGCGTGGCCAAACACATTACCTCTGTCTTTGATGCTGGGAACACTCGGCATGCCGGGGTGAGCTTTGTGCCTGTGTGCCACTTGTTTGAGTGCCTGACACTCTGCATTTCCAAAATGCTTTGTCCAGAACTTGGTCAATCAGAAGAGACAAGGCATTAGAGCAGTGGTTCGCAACCTTCTGGCCCTTTAAATACAGTTCCTCATGTTGTGACCCAACCATAAAATTATTTTCGTTGCTACTTCATAACTGTAATGTTGCTACTGTTATGAATCGTAATGTAAATATCTGATATGCAGGATGGTCTTAGGCAACCCCTGTGAAAGGGTCGTTTAACCGCCAAAGGGGTCGCGACCCACAGGTTGAGAACCACTGCATTATAGGTTCAGGGCTGATTAGAGAAGATGGTGGGGTTAAGAAGGAAAGAAGAGTGGGCGAGGCTCAAGGTAGCCTTAAAACTAAAGGAAAAAAGAGGGGAATCAGGTCAGTGACACTCAGGTACAAAGAGGAAGCAGGAGTGAGAAGCAAGGTGGGCACGATCCCTCTCAAGCATCTGGCAAATGGCAACGCAAAGGCACCAGCTCCTCCTGTCCCTGGGAGGGTCCTAGCTTCACCCATCACTCATCTCTGCCTCCATTTCAGAATTCTAAAAGGGAAGGAGTTCAGTCTACCTTGGTTTTCTGCGTCTGTATCCTTCCCCACCTTTCCCTGAGGAGCAAGAGAAGCTGGACAAAGATGAATCACAGATTATACTAGTAGCTGTGCAGTCTCTCCACTTGGCACAGATTTAAAATAAATGCCCAGGTGTCTCTTGACCTCGGGAAGTTCTTCCTGTCCCTCAGGAAGACACCTGGTCAGTTCATCCTGTGTCTACGTTCCAGGTCCCGGCTGCATTGTGGACCTCAAGTTTCTTTTATGCCCAGGAGAAGCAAGGTCGACTGAATTCCTTTTGGAGTCCCCAACACGTTCTAGTCATTGCCTGGAATTCCTTTATTTCTGCTCTTTTACTATGTTGTGTGATCCTTTCCTTCCTTCCTTCTTCCTTCCTTCCGTTTCCACCTTTCTCCCTTTCCTCCTGCCTTTCTTCCTCATTTCCCCCCATTTGCCCTCCCTCTTTCTTTTGAAAAACACTGGATTAAGGGAATATTAGTTAGATATTTGGGTCCTTGGATAAAGTGCTGCCTATGCCTTTCACTACCTTCCCTTCAGTGCTCAACTCTCATGGACCCCAAATAGAGTCAAGGCTGAGGAAACTTAAGTTATGCCAATATATAGTTTCTGTTTTTGTTTTTAAAGAAATCACATTTTTTATATTTTATTGATTTTTTTACAGAGAGGAAGGGAGAGGGATAGAGTTAGAAATTTTGATGAGAGAGAAACATCGATCAGCTGCCTCCTGCACACCCCCTACTGGGGATGTGCCCACAATCAAGGTACATGCCCTTGACTGGAATTGAACCTGGGACCCTTCAGTCTGCAGGCTGACACTCTATCCACTGAGCCAAACCAGTTAGGGCTGTAGTTTCTGTTTTATATAGAAACAACTTTACATGAATTTGTCTGAAATTTTGAAAGTGGCTTAACAGTCACCATAATGGGTATGGATTTCATTGGCTCAGACTCAGGGGTGCAAAACATAACTCAAACTGTTTCTACGATTGCACTTTATTTCTATTTCAAGCCCTTATTTTGGCTGGTGTAGTAAAAGAAAACCTCAGTAAATTCAGTGACTTCTCAGGTCATTTCAGGTGTCGAGCTCAGCATTTCCTTTATCTTCTCCCTAGGGTTGATGCAAAGCTCCAAGGGCGAATGCAAGTTCAGTGTCAGTAGAAGGGGGACAACAACTGCTTGAGCTTGATCTTTCTTAGTCTGAGGCTAGTCTCCTGCTCAAAGCGTAACTTTTCCCATCGTGTCTTCAACCACGTCTTCTTCCAAGCCAGCTATCCACGGAGGTGTGGTGGTTTCTTCACCTGCTCCCCATCAGTACTGTCTGAGCTGTATCTTTGCAAGCCTAGTGTTCTTTTCCTGCAAGCTAACTTTGACATCCTACTTGTGGTGAGATGAAGAAGTTTCAGAAGTTCTCCCATACTGCTTTGGAGCCATGGGAAACTCCAGGTGTTTCTCTCTGACCCTGTCATGCCTAAACACCTCATACCATTATATCTGCTCTGTGGCTGTGGCACTGGGATGACATGGAGGCTTTCCCCATGAAGCTCTCCATCTCCCTAGGACTTAGATGCGAATGAGGCACAAGCTCTCTATTCTTGGGTCACCAAAGTTTAAGGGGGACCTATCTTCTTTCACCCCCAAGACTTAACCTGGTGATAGACAGGATGCAGTCCCCTCCAGCCAACTCTCCCTTCCCACCCTAGTCCCCTCATTATTTCTGTTTGGAGTAAGGGGTAAGGAAAGAGGAGGTGGACCATTAGTGGATGGTAATATTCATTTCCTATTGTTTTCTTTTACCTAGACCCATGGCAGTCTAAGAAGGTCTTTGGGATATATCTGAATGAATTATATGGGAAAGCAACAAATTTATCCACATATCCTTAATTTTCTTTCCTCAGCCTAACAGCCTACTTTGGCCTACTCGACATCTGTAGTGCAAAAAGTGGAGAAACAGTCTTGGTTAATGCAGCAGCAGGAGCCGTGGGCTCTGTTGTGGGGCAGATAGCTAAGATCAAGGTAAGTGTCTTCCTCTAGGAGCAAATGCTCAGCACCCACAGTGTGCACTGGGAATGCAGCAGTGAACACAACAGACCTTCCCTAGTCTCGGAGACGCAGTGGTTCTCAACCTTCCTAATGCCGCGACCCTTTAATACAGTTCCTCATGTGGTGACCCCCAACCATAAAATTATTTTCGTTGCTACTTCATAACTGTAATTTTGCTACTGTTATGAATCGTAATGTAAATATCTGATATGCAGGATGTATTTTCAGGGGTCGCGACCCATAGGTTGAGAACTGCTGGTAGTGGATCTTGTTTAGAAGTTGAAGATTGGGAATGAATGAGAAATGGGAGAATGAGGAAAAAATGAACATTATTATTATTATTATTTTTTATATTTTATTGATTTTTTATAGAGAGGAAGGGAGAGAGACAGAGAGCCAGAAACATCGATGAGAGAGAAACATCGATCAGCCGCCTCCTGCACATCTCCTACTGGGGATGTGCCCGCAACCCAGGTACATGCCCTTGACCGGAATCGAACCTGGGACCCTTCAGTCTGCAGGCCGACACTCCATCCACTGAGCCAAACCGGTTTCGGCTATTATTTTTTTAAAATATATTTTTATTGATTTCAGAGAGGCAGGGAGAAGAGAGAGAGAAAAAAAATAAATGATGAAAGAGACCCACTGATTGGCTGCCTCCTGCGTGCCCCCTACTGGGGATTGAGCCTGAAACCTGGGCATGTGCCCTGACTGGGAATCGAACTGAAATCTCCTGGTGCAAGGGAAGATGCTCAACCAACTGAGCCACACCAGCCAGGCTTCTTTCATAGTGGCTGCTGAACATTTCTTGTTACAGCCTTACCTTCTCTCCTTATGATTGTCCCCAACAATGAACGAGGAACGTGAGGTTAGCCAATCAAGATAGCCCACATGGCCCCATGGCGAAGGCTACTAGTCAGCCCAGAGCGGTGAGGCCAACTCCTAGGAGGTACCTAGGGCATGGAAACATTGCTCTGATTTAGGCAGGAGTCTGTGTTCAAGAGATCTGATGTGATGGTGGGCAGCAGGCAGCTCAGACATGGCCAGGATGTGTCACATGGAGGAATGTTGCAAGCTAATTTGGCTTAGCTGATCCTTTGCCAGAGGCTGGGATGCAGAATCAGGACCTAGTTCCTGGGGAAAGAGTGAAGTGAAATACAGATGAATACAGGACTATAACCAATAGCCAAGGATTCAGGGTGGTCCCCAGGATTAATGGGAGCTTGGGCTACAAATAAGAAATGAAGCTACCTTAGAGGTTGCAGGAAGAATTTATTTACAAGTAAGTAAAGACATAGGAATAGATACTGAATTTTATCAAATGTTACGTCAGCATTTATCAGGTTAACTTTGCAGTTAGTGAATTACATTAGTATTCCAGTATTGAATCATTCTAGCATTCCTGGAATAAGCTTTATTTACCTATGGAAATTATGGATTTGTACCTTGGAATTTTATTTGATCGCATTTTAAACAGAATTTTTGCATCTATTTTTATAGACGAGTTTGGTTTGAAGTTTTTTTTTTTTTGTTCTGAACTTATCAATATTCAGCTTGGGTTATGCTAGACTTATAAAACAAATTAGTAATATTTCCAATAGTCAAATGTTAAATGTTTTCTTTAAACTGTAAGGCATGTTTATTTCAAAAATTTGATAGGACTTATCCCTAAACCTGTTCTTTTAGAAACCCCACTGGACACTGCCGTACTAAAAAGCTTAATCCTTAAAGGAGAGACAGAATTAGTTCTGCATTTTAGAGAAGTTACATTGCCTTGGTTCATAGTTTCCAGGGGCAAAGTACTAGAGACAAGAAGTCTAATTAGGAGGCCCTTACAAGAATTCAGATGGAAACTGTGATGCATCAAGGGTAGAGATTAGACGTCAGAGCCAGCTTTTAGGGTATTTGGGAAAAAAGAATAAAACCTGGTGATTGGATGTGGATAGAAAGGGTGAGAAACATCTGCATGAAGGAGGCATTGAGGTCATAAGTGTCGATGAGATCATCCTGTGAGTTTAGAAGGCTAGAAGGACAAAAGACAGAGGGTGGAGCTTTTGCAAGAGTTTTTTTCTTGAATCATGAAAAAATGGGAAAAGTAGATTGCAGTTATTGTTAGTACAGATACATGTATGAACCCAAAGGTCTTTCCCTAACTGAAAGTGCATAGTGGCTCATCTTCTGGTCTTCACGATCCATTCAGAATGTAAGAGAGCTTTCTGAAGAGCTACTTTCTATGTGCCAATATAGTATCCAGTCTCAGCCTAAATGCGCTTTGCAGATTAAGCAGCATCTAGTCCATTGCTTTGGGCCAAATCAAACAAAAGGGGACAGTTACCGGGAGGGCTATCTATGAAATGAGAGTCCCAGAACTGAGCCAAAATAATAGTTAAAGGACAACTGCATCAAGAGATAGCATGCAAGTCATTGCAAGGGAAGAGAAGCTTCAAAATAAAGAAACAAGAGAGGGCCTGGCCGGGATAGCTCAATGGCTGGGCATCGACCTATGACCAGGAGGTCACAGTTCAATTCTCAGCCAGGGCACATGCCCGGGTTTTAGGCTAGCTCCCAGTGGGGGGTATGCAGGAGGCAGCCGATTGATGATTCTCTCTGATCATTGATGTTTCTATCTCCCTCTCTTTCCTCTCTCTGAAATCAATAAAAAACATTAATTTAAAAAAAACCACAAGAGAGACAAATGAATATGTTGTCAAGCCGGCAGGTTGAAATGAACTGCAAACCACATAAACATAGAAAGGATCTATTGGGTAGTCAGAGGCAAGCTGAAGTTATTTTTGGGTTGTAGGATGGTTCAGGGACTAATTTTACTTATAGGGCCTTTTGGCCCATCGTAGTATTCTCATGTATGTGGCTCAGCCCCTCAGAAGTTGTTCTTGGGGAACCTGACCTTACTGGACTAGGAGGGTGGAGTTGGTCTGTGCTTGTGACTTATACATGATTTCCTTCCCCCGCCCCACCCCTACTTAGGGCTGCAAAGTTGTTGGAGCAGCAGGGTCTGATGATAAGGTTGCCTACCTTAAAAAGCTTGGATTTGACGTTGTCTTTAACTACAAGACAATAAAGTCTTTGGAAGAAACGTTGAAAAAAGCTTCTCCTGACGGTTATGATTGTTATTTTGATAATGTAAGTACAAATTAGACTTAAAATCTGATTTACTAACAAAGTAACTATACAGGGAATATACTTCTGGAGTTTCCATCTGAAATCTATGACTAAAGCACATATGACTTTTTAAACAAACAAACAAAACAAAAATAGCTTTATTGTGATATAATTCACCCATTTTAAATGTAGAATTTAATGGTTTTTAGTATATCCACAGAATTGTACAACTGTCACCACAATCCATTTTAGAACATTTTTATCTCACTAAAAAAGAAATGCTGTACTTACTAACACTTCCACTTTCCCTCAAAAGTGGTCTTCTGTGACTGGCTTCTTACACTTAGCATGTTTTCTAGGTTCATCCATGTTGTGGCATGTATCAGTGATTCATTCCTTCTTATGGCCAAATAATATTCCATAGTATTGACATATCACATTTTATTTATCCATTCAACAGTTGATGGACATTTGTTATTTACACTTTTTGGCTGTTACATAATGCCGCTGTGACCATTCATGTACAAGTTTTTGTGTGGATATGTTTTCATTTCTCTTGGATATACACCTACGAATGGAATTGCTGGGTCATATGGTAACTTCATGTTTAACATTTTGAGGTACTGCCAAACTGTTTTGCACAATGGCTGCACTATTTTACATTCTTGCTAGCACCATATGAGGGTTCCAACATCCTCACCAACACTTATGATCCATCATTTTGATTAGGGCTATCCTGGTGGGTCTGAAGTGATCATTTCATTGTGGTTTTGATTTGCATTTCTTTAATAGCTAACATTGATCATCTTTTCATGTGCTTATTAGCCATTTGTATATCTTCTTTGGAGAAATGTCTGTTCAAATCCTTTGCCCATTTTTCAATTGGACTATTCGTTGAGTTGTAAGGCCTCTTTATACATTCTGGCTATAAATCCCTTTATCAGATCTAGTCAGTTCTTGGTATTCCTGGTAGTTATGTTCTATAAAGTCACCACAAACACTGAACCATTCATTGCTCCTGGAAAAGTATGTACATATATGCGCGTATCTCACATAGATTACAATCTTAAATCCTAAAAACAACTCTTCCAATAGCTTCCATTTTCTTTATTTTACAATAGGGAATAGGAGATTCAGAGAAATGTTAAGTAACTTGCCTGAGGCTGCCCCACTAATCCTCCCAAAGTTGGAGTTCATACCCCATACAAATGGCTCAGGAGCAGAGCTTCTTGAACTAAACTGCACTGCCCCCTACTGTCTTCACCCTCCGATGATCTCTGTGAGAGAGCTGAGAGAAGAAGGCAGAGCCTTGGCCTTGCTTGACCTTAGCTGGTAACTTTGCATCTCTTTCTCTGCTCTGCACGTGTCTGCAAATGACCAGGGCAAGCCCTGTGAATACTGAGTTGGAGGTTACAAATAAATTTTAGCAAGCAGTCCAGTTCACAAATATGGAATCCAGTAATAATGAGGATCCACTGTATATAGTTTGCAAATATTTTCTCCTATTCTGTTTATAAGTTGTTTTTCACTTTCTTGATGGTGTCTTTTAAAGCACAAAAGTTTTCCATTATTTTTTCTTTTGTCCCTTGGTGTCACGTCTAATGCTTTACCCTACCCAAGATCATGAACATTTATTCTTTTTGTTTGCTTCTAAGAGATTTATCGTTTTAGCTCTTACATTTAGGTCTAGGATGCATTTTAAGTTAATTTTTGTGTATGGTATAAGGAAGGAGTCCAATTTCCTTCTCTTCCATGGGGATATCCAGTTGTTCTACACCATTTGTTGAAAAGACTATCTTGTCCCTCTTGAGTTGTTTGGCACTCTTATCACAACCAATGGACCATAAATATAAGGGTTTATTTTTTTGGACTTCAATTTAGTTCTATTGATCTACATTTCTTTTCTCACATTGTTTTGATTAATATAGCTCTGTGGTAAGTTGTTTTTTTAAAAAATATATTTTATTGATTTTTTTTTTACAGAGAGGAAGGGAGAGGGATAGAGAGTTAGAAACATCGATGAGAGAGAAACATCGATCAGCTGCCTCCTGCACACTCCCCACTGGGGATGTGCCCGCAACCAAGGTACATGCCCTTGACCGGAATCGAACCTGGGACCCTTGAGTCCACAGGCTGACGCTCTATCCGCTGAGCCAAACCGGTTAGGGCTCTGTGGTAAGTTTTGAAAGTGAAAAATGTGAGTCTTCCCACATTGTTCTTTATATGGCATTTGAGTACTTTTCCAAACTTTTAGGTAGGGCAATGAGATTATTGAACTGAGCAGAGAATCTCACAGTATAGAAGAATGCAATTTGTAAGTTATATAATGTATGTTCCTTTAATAAAAATGGAAATGCCCAGTTCCTATTGTCTTTTTCCAAATGCAAGTTTCTTCGCTACTGTGCTAATTCAATCAGTTTTGTTGCTGTTAAACAAGTGATGTGAAATGATGATTTTAAATGAATGATTTTCCTGAATCTTCTAGTGTTTAGATTAAGGTTGTTATTTTTTGTTTCTTTGTTTTTGTCCTGTTTAGGTAGGTGGAGAATTTTCAAACATTGTTATCCCCCAAATGAAGAAATTTGGAAGAATTGCTATATGTGGGGCCATCTCTACATACAATAGTACTCGCCCAATTCCCCCAGGTAATGAGCTTATGCACATGGTCAAAGCTGTAGGAAGACTAGACAAGGAGAAGATTCACATATATGGCATCGGATATTAATAAGATGTTAGTGACTATCAAAATATTTAAAAGACTTTGTGGTATTCTTGATGAAATAGTATTTATCAGCTAACATAGAGAAATAACAGGATCTGAACATATGGAACAAACATATTATTATTATTGTTAAATATATTTTTATTGATTTCAGAGAGGAAGGTAGAAGGAGAGATAGAAGCATCAATGATGAGAGAGAATCATTGATTGGCTGCCTCCTGGGGATAGAGCCGGCAACCTGGGCATGTGTCCTGACCAGGAATTGACCGTGACCTCCTTGTTCATAGATTGACAGTCACTGAACCACGCCGGCCGGGCCAAACACATGTTATTAAAAGTTTTAGTTTTTACCTATTTCCTGAAAAAATGTAAAAAGACAGCCATGATTTGATTTAGAAAGAGAACATCTTGGTCTGGGTGATAAAATGTCAGGTTCTTCAGGATCTTCAGGATATTGCTGGAGATGTGGGTATGGGTAGAAGGTGACTTGAGATGGGTGAAGGGGAAAACAGGTTGCCATTTCCTTCAGACAGTCGTGGGCGGTGCTTCCTAGAGCAGCCGGCCACCCTGGCCTCACCAGACTGACAATTTCTTCTAAAAGGCAAAGGAGCATGCATGTCCCTCCCTCCATTCCTTGATGGTCCACGTTTAGTTTCTCCTGTGCCCTGCCATGCCTTCCGTCCCCCACTTCCTCACTCTCTTATGCTGAGAGAGCCCCTCCCACCTCCATGCCTATAAAGGTCTACAAATAGTGTCAATTAGAGAACTGGATTCATTAGGTCCCCATCTCTGAGAGATGTTGTATAGGCCTCCCATTTTACGCATGGGGAGATAAATGGCTGAGAGGACCAGAGACTCCTCAAATCCTATTATCAACACACTCAAAACCAAGACAGGTTTTCTGAACAACAACTACAGCGTCCTTTTCTGCTACAACAATTCTGTGTTGTTGGTGAGATTACAGGTTTCCTGTGGTCAAAACAAAAGGAGAAAGAACAAGAAAGAATCTTCTAGATTATCATCATGATCTACGCAACCATACATAAACATTCTATGATAGGCTTGACTCCTGGGACTGAAACCTTACAGCTCTGCTAGTTAACAACATGCAACTTGCCCTGAGACAGGTGGGCGAGAGTGAAAGGGGCCGTGGAAGGACAACCTATATATTCCCTCTTGAGCTGTGAAAATCAAAGACACTACCTTCTCCAAGAAGGAAACTCCAGGTTCACTTGGCAGTCTTATTGGTAGGGACCTTTTTCCCCCTATATTTTTCTAATTGATGCTTAGCTAGAATCATGAGACATCTGCCTGCCAACTGAGCAAAGCTCCAGGATGTATTTCTTGATCACAGTCCAGATTGTCGAATTAGGACTCACAGGTGGGGAACGTCCAGCCTGAGAAATCATTTGGTCTGGCCCTGCCAAGGCGTTAGGGATGAGTTAATTAAATGTTTGCCCAAATATAGCAGGCTAAGTTTTAAATTGGCAATTGTTTATGGCCCACAGATGATGTTATAAATATCCAAATGGCCCTTGGCAGAAAAAAGTTTCCCCACCTTGATAGGTGTAGCCAAATATTTTGGGTAGAGTAACCTGATCTAGTTCTTTTTTGCAATTACTCTTTGGAAGTTCAGCTGCTCAGATAGGTCTTTGAGATGTCAGCTGGCCTTGTCCATTCCATTTTAATCAGATGGGATTCTGCCCTGCTTCTGATTTTCAGAAATTCTAACATATTTCACTATTAGGATAGCTCAGTGGCAAGTAACTATTTCCCCTAACTTTAAACTTTTTTTTTTATCATTACCCAAGGATATTTTTTTCCCATTGATTTTTTAGAAAGAGAGTGGAAGGAAGAGAGGGGAGGAGAGGAGAGAGAGAAATATCGATGTGAGAGAAACACATCAATTGGTTGCTTCCTGCTTGCACCCCAACCAGAGCCAGGAATGGAACCTGCAACCAAGGTACATGCTCGGAATCAAACCCAAGACCCTTTGGTCTACGGCTGACATTCTAACCACTGAGCAAACCAGCCAGGGCTATTTTCCGCCAACTTTAATGTCACATTTGTTGCCGCATTTATTTTTTGTTCTCAATAAAGAAACCTACATTCCCACCAGAGTGGACAAGTCCAGAAATGGTATTTCATCCTCTTCCAAATGAGGATTCCAATCCATAACCCAAAAAGAACTATAGTTGGTGGGGGTCTTTTGAAGAAGCACCCTTTCTGTGACATCAATCTAGAATTTGGGTGTATCTCTCTCTTATGTCACCCTGGTGTCTCACTCATTTTGCATCAGTTTCTTTTAGTTCAGGATGAAGCCCTATTTTTTCTGACTGCTAATATTACTTTCTTCAAAGTAGTAAGTGGGAACTTTTAAGCTTGAGTGATGGCAGTTATCAAAGATGCTGAAATAGATTGTCGCTTCTAACTGAACCTGACTTCCTGGAACTTGTAAGACTATACTCAGGTGTCATTCCCTCAGTGTCTGGTCACTTGAGATCCTTGGGAAAAGAAACCAGGCAATCATACAACCTTTGCTCTCTCACACGGAACAGTACTATCTTACAGGCCGCAGGGTAGCCTTGTGCTTTTTTTAGGCTGGTGGTTCTCAAAGTGTGAGCCCAGGACCAGCAGCATCACCGTCTCCTGGGAACGTATTAGAAATACAAATTCTTGGCGCCTACTCCATAGCCACCATCAGAAGTTGGGGGAGGGACCCAGCAATTTGACAAGCCCTGCGCCTGATTCTGATACACACCGAAGTGTGAGACCCCACTGTTCAGGCTAACTCTTGGTTCCTGAAATGGCGAGGACAAAGGCAGGCATGGGAGCTGTTGAGCCTCTATCTCTTTTGTTGGCTCTTAGTCCAGGGGTGGACACTAGTTGTTTTACATCTCCTCTGAGTACAGAACAGAAGGAGATGGCTTTATGCCACAGAATGACTGCATTAGCCATCAAGAAGAACCTGCTAAGTACTGGGAATGTGAGGGTATTCATTCTTGAGTGGTGCAGAAATGTGTCCATCTTCAGGACCTCTTTCTAGTCTATAGAACTGTTTGGGAAGTTTTGGGTGGGCCTTGCTTCTGGCACATCCAGAATGACCATTCTCTGGCTTCGTGACCTGTGCGAGGACTCCACGTGTGTTTCCTATTGCTGCTGTAACAAATGACCACAAACTTGGTGGCTTAAACCAACACAAATTTATTGTCTTATAGTTCTGGAGGTCAGAAGTCTAACATGAGTCAGCAGGGCTGTGTTCCCTCTGAAGGCTCCAGAAGAGAGTCTGTTTCTTTGCCTTTTCTAGCTCTAGAGGCTGCGTGCATTTCCTGGCTCCTGGCCCCTTCCTCCATCTTCAAAGCCAACAGCCTAAAATCATCAAAATCTCTCTTTCTCTCTGATCTGTGCTTCCATCATCACATTTTTTTCCCCGGACTCTGACTTTTTTTCATCCTTCTTTCCCTTATAAGGACCCTTGTGATTATTCTGGGCCCACCTATATACTACCCAAAATTCCCCCACCTCAAGTTCTTAATCATATCTGCAAAGTCCCTTTTGCCCTGTAAGGTAACATCTTCACAGGGTTCTGGGAATTAGGATGTGGACATCTCGGGGCCATTATTCTGCCTCCCACAGAGTTGACTGGTGGGCAGCCCTGTGGATCAGAAAAGAGTGAAGGCAATGGAAGGGGGAGCAGTAAGGGAACAGTCAGTACTTGTTTTCACCATGGCCACCTCCCTGGACCCTGTCGCCCAAATGTGCCCTTTTCTTCACAGGTCCCTCCCCTGAGGTCATTATCTATCAGGAACTCCGCATGGAAGGGTTCCTCGTCACCCGCTGGAAAAATGACCACCAGAAGGCTCTGAACGAATTGATGAAATGGGTCTCAGAGGTAAGGGGCTCCAGAGCCACTCCCTCCAATTGTACACCAGATCCCATTCCCCTGTGATGCTGTAGATACATCTTCACATACATCTCACTGCTCCCTACTTCATAGCAAAATACCCGCAAGTGTTGTCTGCAGTTCCTCTCTTTCCGTTCTTTCTTAGATCCACACATCAGGCTTTTGCACTGGTCACTGGGCCTCTTTTCTTCTCTGTCCATCCCTTAGTTAGCTCATCCAGGCTCATGGTTGTTTTTTTGTTTTGTTTTGTTTTTTGTGGGTTTTTGTTGTTGCTGTTAATCATTACCTGAGGATATTTTCCCATTGATTTTTAGAGAGAGTGGAAGGGAGAGAAAGAGACAGAGAGAGAAATATCAATGTGAGAGAGACACAAGGACTGGTTGCCTTTGCCTTCACACACGCCCCGACTAGAGCCAGGGATCGAGCCTGCAACTAAGGTATATGACCTTGACCAGAATTGACGCTCTTTCCACTGAGCCAAAACGGCTAGAGCCAGGCTCACGGTTTTACATGTAGGTAGGCTGACAGTTCCTGAATGTCTGTCTCCTGCCTGCACCTCTCCCGAGCTCTAGACTGCTTGACAGCTGCACTTGCATGTGGGATACACACCTTCGACTTAACATGTCGAAAACGAACTATGTTTTGATCTTTCCTGCCAAACCTGCCCCCTTGATAGACCTCACCGTCTCAGCTATGGCAGTTTTACCCTGCCAGTTGCTCAGTCCAAAAACCTTGAAATCATCTTTGATTCCTTTCTTTCTCTCATTCATATCCATGTCTAACCTGTTGCAAAATTCTGGTGGCTCACCAGAATGCATACATACAGAATCTGACCACTCCTCCCACCTCCTTTGCTACCGCCCTGGTCCAGGCCACCACTTGTCTAGGATGTTGTGTCAGCTTCCATCTGGTGTCCCACCTTTGTGCCCTTATAGACAATTCCCAACACAGCAGCCAGAGTGATCTTTTAAAGCACAAATCAAGCCATGTCATTCTTATGCTCAAAACCCTGCAGAAGTCCCCATTTCACTTAGAATAAAACTTACAAGGCTATCAGCCATCTAGCCCCCATTACCTCTCTAATTTCATTTCTTAGTGTTTCCTCACTTTGCTCATCTACGCAATCCCTCCCCTTACCTCTTTAACCCTCTGTAACTGCTCAATTCTCGCACCTCCTTTAAGTCTCTGCTAAAAACTGCCTTCTGAATGAACTTTGACAGTGACCCTATTTTAAATTGTAATCCCCTTCATTCTTGCGCCTCCTTTTCGTTACCCATACAATTATCATCTTTCAATGTGACTTATATTACAATTCACTTCTTTAATTACTGCCCGTCTCCCACCATGAGAATATAACCTCTATGCAGGCAGCAGTGTTCATGCATTTTGTTTGCTGGTGTATCCTTAGCACCTAGCAGGGGTCCTCAAACTACGGCCCGCGGGCCACATGCAAATACAAATATTGTATTTGTTCCCGTTTTGTTTTTTCACTTCAAAATAAGATATGTGCCGTGTGCATAGGAATTTGTTCATAGTTTTTAAACTATAGTCTGGCCCTCCAACGGTCTGAGGGACAGTGAACTGGCCCCCTGTTTAAAAAGTTTGAGGACCCCTGACCTAGAGTGTCTGCATCAATGTAGGCATTAGATGAATATTGCCGAATGGATGAGGGGCATATATTTGTGCCATAGCTCTTCCAGGTCCTACAGTAGAGCCTTCTGACGGCCATGCCTTTAGAAGAGGAAGAAGCCAGCCAATCCCTTTGTCCTGTGCTGTGATCATTTTCCCGCCATGTAGAATGTTAGTCAATAGAGATCTGAATAAACAAGGTACATTATTTTACTTTTTAGAGGGGGAAAGTGCTATCACACGTTCTAATTCCTGGCTTTACGATCATCTCCCAATTCAAAGAAATAAATTGCTTCTCTGGCAACCATTGGGGGTTGGCATTTTTCCCAGCTAACACTTGTAGTGCTGGGCTGGGCTCATTCCAGGAAGCTGGGAAGAGCGAAATTATTTTTAAGTTCCCCGTGTGTAGCCGCTTTATCCCTGTTGGTGAAATTGAATCTAGCGCTACCTCAGTCACAGCTGACAGCAAGAAACCACCGTGCTGATGCCCCTAATGCGACCCTCTAACAAAGTGAACCTAATTATAGTTTTAAGTAACTAGTGAATTAGCCTAATTTCTCATCTACATTTTCCCTCATCTCTCCCCTTTTAAAAATATATTTTTTATTTTAGAATAATTTTAGATTTACAGAAAAATCAGAGTTCCCATATAACCTATATCCTATGCCTAAATTCCCACATTATTAACATTTAATATTAGTATTCATCCTCTACTTTTAACATTTATTTACTTATTTAAATATATTTCTATCTATTTCAGAGAGGAAGGGAGAGGGAGAGAGAGCCATCGATCAGCTGCCTCCTGCACACCCCCTACCGGGGATTGAGCCGCAACCCAGGCATATGTCCCTGACCAGAATCAAACCTGTGATCCCTCAGTCCGCAGGCTCACGCTCTATCCACTGAGCCAAGCCGGCCAGGGCTACTTTTAACCTTTAAACCGGATTATAGCTTTCAACTCTTTCCAGGTTCTTTGCCTCTTCAAGAGCAGGAATGAGCTTGGACTTTCTAGTCAAGGGTGCAATTCCCAGTTTTCCTACTTAATAGTTGAGTGACCTCAAGCAAATGGTCCCCCTGTAAGTCCATAAAGGGTGCTACACTATCACTGGAATACATTCGGGTAAAAATAGTATCAGTAACTCAGGTCTCTACATAAGACCCCTTAAAAATTATCTTTAAAATGTGAATTAGTCCTACTCAGTAGCCTGTGTCTTGTAGGAGAAAGAGAATGAAAATCCTTCCTCACTAAATGAACCCTTCCCTCCCAGATTCCTAAATGAATGTTAAGCACACATTAACAGAACCTTGGCTTGAAGAGAAGACAGATCATCAAGGTGCCATGATACTTACATTTCCTGAACAGGCTCTGCCTCCTCAGGGTTCAAAGAAAAGCAATGAAGCTATGTCCTGGGAAGGATGAGCGTAGATCACACCCTAAAGGGTGCGCCTTTCTCCAGCTACTTTCACCTCTTCTGAGATCATTACATTATAAAACTTTTCATATAACTAACTTAGAGATTGCTTAAGCACTTCCTTGTGACATTTCTCCTATTGCTGGGCTGTGATCTGGTGCCTGTTATGAAATTCCTATTGTACTTTGTAATCTGTCACATACACTGTGTGTGTGGATCATGCCCCAAGGTGACACAAGTTCACAGAGCGGAGGGATTTCCAGCTATCGTTCCCAGTGTCCTGTGATGTACCTGATAAATTTGTTGCTACAATGAGAAGAGTGTATCATTTAGAATATGATATTAATCTATTACATTTGTTGTTGTTTTGATGCAGGGTAAAATCCAGTACCAGGAATACGTCACTGAAGGATTTGAAAACATGCCAGCTGCATTTATGGGAATGCTGAAAGGAGATAATTTGGGGAAAACAATAGTGAAAGCATGAAAAAAATGACACATAGAACCTAGGAATCATTTGGATGATTACTTAATTTCTTTTTAACCATTTGGTAAAAATGTATGCTGCCCTCTTTATCTAATAAATAGTAGTTGTTGCTCTAACTGGTTTGGCTCGGTGGATAGAGCGTCGGCCTGCGGACTCAAGGGTCCCAGGTTCCATTCTGGTCAAGGGCATGTACCTTGGTTGCGGGCACATACCCAGTAGGGAGTGTCCAGGAGGCAGCTGATCGATGTTTCTCTCTCATCGATGTTTCTAACTCTCTATCCCTCTCCCATCCTCTCTGCAAAAAAATCAATAAAATATATATAAAAAAATAGTTTTGTGATGAGTTTGATCTACCTAATAAAGTACATGTAAATAGTATGTGATTAGCAATAGAGAATGAACATTTCATAGTGAACGGCAGCCAGTCACCTCACATCATATAATGCTCCAGTTCTTGCTTTCCCTGCTTCAGGGAAATGAGGTGGTATGTTCCAGATGGCCTCCCTACAAATATTGGAAAGCAATAAATGTTGGAAGGCTGCCAAGGAAATAAGCTTTTATTGAATTAAGCTACTTTGATTTTGGGGATCTCTGTAGCTAGCATTGCTTACCCAAACTCTGTACTGTCCAATATGGTAGTCATTTAAGACTACTGAGAACTGGAAATATGGATAGTATTACATTGCAAGATTTTAAAAAACAACAACAAAGCACAGTTAATATTTCTCCATTAAACACAACTTTATTGTTTTGGTAGAACTACAATTCATTGTAACTGTTGTGTAGCATAGGACATTATTGTTGTATTGTAATACTTGTACAAGAATGTGCATTATTTCTAGCATTACAGATAAACACTTCACCAATCTAGTCAGTATCAACAGACAGATTCAGTTCAGATAACTGTTTTCTATGCACTGAAGTAACATCACAATGTCTTTACGTGCGTATTTTACGTACACAGCACAAGTTAAGGTACACCTATGCAGACAGCACAAGTTTTAGCAATACCGATGTAAATCATAATCGTAAACAGACACTACTTTAATTATAATTAAATTATTTTCTAGGTTAAAAATACAGAAAAATATTTAATCTTTAAATGAAGGCAGATTACTAGGCAGAATTCAGTGCAATACAGAAGCTAGTACTACAACTAGTACAGTAAAAAAAGAGTGGAAGAGGGCATAGTACACATTCAATGATGAAAGGCAATTGCAACTTACTGCAGACATAGCAAATGGAAAAGCTATTTGTTGTATACCAAAGTGTTAAAGATACCACACTAGACAATATTTAAGACAATACCTAATATTAGTCACTTTTTAGCAACAACCTAGTGAGTTCGATAAGTACACTCCTAAGTCAAAAAAGAATCCAAGAAATTAGTCATATGAGATGAGAACTAAATTTCCAACAAAATATTAAACAACTTTTTAACAGGATTTGAGTTTGTAAATTTAGCCAGCTCTAAAATAGTATGAATTCTCACACACAAACAAAAAGAATCTTAGATGGAGAGATGATGAAAAGAAATTATTTTAGTTAGGTTGATTTGGTCAGAAATTTATGAAGAAGAGACTTAAAAAGATATTTACAAATACTGAAAACTTCAATCCTTTAAATAATTTTGCTCATAGAATACAAGAAGTTTCTGATAATATCAAAGACCAATTGATTCAAAATTTGAAAAATTGCAAGAATTTATCTTCAGCTTTAAATGAGTTTTGTATCATAATGTATCATAAGACACAGCCCCGTGAAAACTTTGGGTATATGCCATCTCAAAGAACATCCAAATTTACAAAGAAATGTCAATTCACTACCTAAAGATTCACTAAGAACAGAAATTTTTGACAATTTTCCATCTGTCAAGAATTTCAGCTAGAGATAGAAAAATTTGTTTCCATTGTAAGAGGAACTCTAGCTATATAAAGTCAAAAGACCAGCTATATTGGCATTTTAAAGCAAGAGAGTGGTGTTTACCTCTTTGCTTTGTTCCACTGTCTCATACTGAATATATTCGTGCTCAGTTTTTTGAAGTAGACTCCAAAAAAGGAGTTATAATGCTAAGATTCTTCAGTATATCGGTGGAAATGCTACACAATAATAATTGCCAGTTTATGGGACTGTACTGAAACTATGGAACTCCGAAAAGAAAACATGGGGGGGGGGGTGGAGATTTCATGACATTGGATTTGAGAATGATTTCTTGGACATGACACCAAAAGCACAGGAGAAAAATAAGCAAAAATAGGCAAATGGGACTACATCAAACTTAAAACCTTCTGTGCAACAAAGGAAATGGTGCCAAGAAAATGGAAAATGTTCCAATGGAACCAATGGAATGGGAGAAGACACTCAAAAATCATAAATAAGGGGATAATATCTAGAATAAATAAAAAACAGAAATTCAAAAACAACAACTTGATTAAATAATGGGCAAAGGACTTAGACAATTCCCTTAAGATGTACACATGGTTAACAAGCATATAAAAAGATTTTCAACATCACTAATCATCAGGGAAGTGCAAATCAAGAACACATCTGTTAGAATGGCCACTATAAAAAATATAGAAAATAATATGGGTTGCTAGGATGCAAAGAAACCCTTCTGCATTGTTGGTAAGAATGTAAAATGGTGCAGCTGCTATGGAAAACAGCATGGAGGTTCCTCAAAAAGTTAAAAATTGAATTACCAAATAATTCAGCAATCCCACTTCTGGGAATATATCCAAAAGACTGATAATAGATCTTGAAGAGATATTTGCACACCCATATTCACAGTAGCATTATTTACAATAGCCAAGAGGTAGATGCAACCTAAATGTGTACTGATGGATGAATGCATAAAAAAAATGTAGCATAGCCCTAGTCGGTTTAGCTCAGTGGATAGAGTGTCAACCTGCGGACTAAAGGGTCCCAGGTCCGGGTTGCAGACTCAATCCCTGGTGGGGGGCCTGCAGGAGGCAGCCGATCAATGATTCTCTCTCATCATTGATGTTTCTACCTCTCCCTCCCTCTCCCTTCTTCTCTGAAATCAATAAAAAAAATTTTTTTTAAAAGTGGTTTAAACATACAATGGAATATTACTCAGCCTTATAAAAGGAAATCTTATCATACACCACAAGGATGAAACTTGAGGACATTCAGCCAATTCCACTTCAAGAACTGAAAGCAGGGATTCAAATAGGTATTTGTACACCACTGTTCATATCAGTGTTATTAACAATAGCCAAAATAGTAGAAATAACTAAATGTCTACCAACAGAAGAATGGGTGAACAAAAAGCAGTACATACATACAATGGAATCTTATTCAGCCTTAAAAAGGAATGAACTTCTGACACATATTACATGAACCTTAAAAACATGTTAAGTGCAACAAGCCAGGCACAAAAGAACAAATATTGATGAATCTATTTATATGAGGTACCTAGAAGAGTCAAATTCATAAGAAACAGAAAGTAGAAGAGTGGTTACTGGGGGCTTGGGAGAGGGAAGAGTGGGGAGTTACTGGTAAATGAGTAGAGTTTCAGTTTGGGATGATGGAAAATTTCTGGAGATGAATATGACGACTGCACAACAATGTGAATGTATTTAATGCCACTGAATAGTACACCCAGAAAGGATTAAAAAGGTCTTTTTCACATTCTGTATTTTGACCACATTAAAAACAATTCTAAAGTAAGTTAAGAAAAGGAAACTCGTTGACAGGAGAAGCCTCGTCTTGTGGTGTGACTTTAAAGAAATGTCTTCAATAGAAACCCATTAAAACCTTTCTTAAAGCAAGGTCGTCATTTTAAAGTAAACATCCTGAACAAGCCTCTTCTCAAGAACTTTACACATTTAATTCTTTCTATAAGTTACTTTTTTATTTTTTACAGAAAAACAAGCTAGGGTTTAGATAAACAAACTAGGTTTTATATCACCTAAAAGAAAAACTAACAAGGGTTTATGTCTTTTCAGAGAAAAACAAACAAGGGTTTTTATCTTAAAAAAAACACCAAATAAACAAAAAAAAAAAAAAACCAAAAACCCCTAAACCAGGTAAATCATTCTCATAAGCCATAGTCCTTTAAGGCTAAATGTCTCTGGTTGGTCTCTTTAGCAATAACTATGCAGACCAATTTATCACACAGCAGTATCTGAACTACAAGCTTTGGGGGAGGGCACAAGGAAGAAACCAAACATTATCCAGAGGTAGCAATGCACACCTAAACCCACTAAATCACAGCAAATACTGCTGCATCTCAGATGAGCATGTGGATCTCTTTGCTTTGATAAGTTGAAAGTTTTTTTGCTTTAGCTCTGTTTTTATACACACTGCCTCCAATTTCAACTTTAACAGCTCTGCACCACTGTTGAGTCAGTGGGGCTCCTCTAGAACCTTATGACCTGAGACCCAAATCTAACCGACTTAGGGTTTTTATTTCCCTTTTAACCCATTGTACGCCACAAGCATCTGTAGACACAAGCGGCGGACCTTCCCCTACACGCCACCTGCGTCTATAAAAAAAAATATTTTCCCTAAGTGGCAGCCCTGACCAACTTTAAAATCATTTTTTGTGAGAATTTTCAGCTGAAAATATTCAAGAACACCCGAATTGTAACATATTTATGTTTATAATATTCATTGCAAATTTATTTTTTAAATTAAATTTAAAACATCATGGCATGTGGGGATGGTTTCCGTTTTGGACACATGGTAGTTAACTGGCTAAGTTAGGAACTATTATTCAGACTCCACCAATGAAATTAGTAAGGAATAATCCACTAATATCTGTATTCTTCATTCCTTTCAGGTCTAATTTCACAACAGAAAACTTAAGTGAAAATCTGTTATAATTTCTACATTCCTTTCCTCAATTTTATTTACCATCAATGGAGTCTCTTTCGATGATAGAATATGTATTCTCCAGATGGTAGGAGATCAGAATATCAAATTCCTACTGTGGGCAAGTCAGGTTGCATGACTGAGAGAACTTGGCAAGTAGAAGAATAGATTCCCTATCTAAAGGCGGAAGCGGCTGGCCCAAACAACCTTTCTTATGAAATAAGGCCTTAGTGTTGTCATCCCTTACATTCTTCAAGACTAGCCTTTTTTAAGTATGAAATTTCCTATTTTAAATAATGGCAACTAATTACACACACACACACACACACACACACACACACGCGCGCGCGCGCCATGCAGACCAACTATGACATGTCAAGGGCCCAACTTTAGCTTGTGACCTTTGCCATACAGAATATTTATACTCTACTGACAGGAAGCTGTACTTAGTACAGGCAAAAATTAAAAAAATAAAACTCTATTTTGCAAAAGGCAACCCGTTCAGAATAGCTGTTTCCAGCACCCGTTTCCTCTCACCCTCACCACCCCCAATCTATTTTCCTAAGACTGTAACTCTCATGTCTGAGATGGCTCAGGTGCATGTCCCTAGACCCCAATCCTCTCAGCCAATGCTCAAAGGAAAAACAAGTTAGGTGTTTTGTTCAATTAAAACATTCCCTGAAGGCAATCTTGTTTCAGCTTCACTGACTTGTTCCTGTTTACAGTGTTCTAGCATCAAGTATTCAAGGCATCCAGTATTCAAAAAGGGTACTATATTCTCACTGCCAGAAGTTTAGTATCCTAAATCATTTTCTACGACAAACTTGAAAATTCCAATGAATCAAACATATTTAACTTATGCCCTAGCTGGTCTGGCTCAGTGGATAGAGTGTCGGTCTGCGGACTAAAGGGTTCTGGGTTCGATTCCCATCAAGGGCACGTACTTAGGTTGCAGGCTCCTCCACGGCCTGAGCCCTGGTCAGGGCACATGCAGGAGGCAACCAGTCGATGTGTTTCTCTCATATCGATGTTTCTCTCTATCTTTCCCTCTCTCTTCCTCTCTCCCTAAAAATCAATGGAAAAATATCCTCGGGTGAGGATTAACAAAATAAATAAATAAATAATTTTAACTTATGTCTACAGCTTCAGAAAATATGAGGTACAAAAAACAACAACCCCAACTTAGAAATTATTAGTCCCAACCCTTCATTCTATCAGTTCAAAAACAAATTCAGAAAGGTTATATAGTAGATTGGTTGGAAACTGGGACAGAACCCAGGTTATCTGACTCCAACCAAGTTTTCTATTACACTACATAGGAGTGGAAGGGGAAAGTAGAAGAGAGGGAAATCTTCTGAAATGGTTAAAAAGGTAGGTTCTGGGCACCCCCTCCCCTGCTATTTAAATTCATATTTGGCCTTTTACAATAATTTCACATCTCATACTATTTTCACTTTCCACATGACTTTTCCAGCCCTAACTACTATCTCCCAAAAGTTAACATTCTTACAAAGAAGGATGAATGGGGGAAAGTCTATTTTTCCTAGCTACCAGCCCATCAAAGCTGCAGCTACTAATCAATGTGGTGGCAATTTATATCCAGGTTTCTAATAAGGAACAGTTTTGATTAACTGTTCCTCCCTCCTTGCTATAGTTCAAGAATTACTCTCCAGAGTGAAATCCCCGATGTCTGATGAATTACTCTCCAGAGTGAAATCCCCGATGTCTGATGAGGCCTGAATTACTTTTGAATGTCTTCTTACATTCCTTACATTCATATTCTTTCCTTCCAGTGTGAATTTTTAGGTGCTCTACAAGGATTGAGCTTCTACTAAAGGTTGCTCCACAGTAGTCACATTCATAGGGTTTCTCTCCAGTATGAGTTCGATAATGTTCATTAAGAGATGAGCTCTGACTGAAGGATTTTCCACATTCTTTACATTTATAAGGTTTCACACCAGTATGAATTCGCTGATGACGACTAAGGAGAGAATGGGTAGGGAAGGCTTTCTCACACTGACTACATTTGTAGGGTTTTTCTCCTGAATGAAGTCGCTGATGATAAATTACAGATGTAAAATGGCTGAAAGTCATTCCACAATCATTACATAGGTATGGTTTTTCTCCAGTATGAATTCTCTGATGTCGGGTAAGGCAAGAATTCTGTCTAAAGGCTTTTCCACATTCAGTACATTTATAGGGTTTCTCTCCAGTATGAATTCTCTGATGCTTGGAAAGGGATGAGCTATGACTAAAGGATTTGCCACAGTCGTTACATGTATAGGGTTTTTCTCCAGTATGAATTCGCTGATGTTGAATAAGAGATGAATTGTCACTAAAGGGTCTCCCACATTCTTTACATTTATAGGGTTTTTCTCCTGTATGAATTCGTTGATGTTTAATGAGGTGGGCAGTTAGGGTGAAACCTTTTCCACAATCATCACATTTGAAGGGTTTCTCTCCACTATGAGCTCTACGACGGGGTGTGAAGGATGCACTCTTACTGAAAGCTTTCCCACAATCATTGCACATAGAGGGTTTTCCACCAAGGTAAAGTTTCTGCTGTTTGGACAGTGTGGTACTATAATCAAAGGATTTTCCACATCTGCTACATTTGGGGGATTTTTCTCCAGTCTCTGTTCCCTCATCTTTATTCGAGGTTGTATCCTGATATTTACTTTTCCGACATTTCTCACATATAGGGGTTTTTCTTCTCTTAACAAGGGATAAGCTTTGAGTGAAGTCTATCCCACAGTTACTGCACTTCTGGGGCTTGGTACCCATATAAATTTTCGGATGTTTCTGATGTTTAGTAAGAGATGAAGAGTGACTTAAGACTTTCCTGCCTTCCTTACGTTTCCGTGGCTTCTCTCCAGTGTGCTCTTTGCGGTTCATAACAAGGTCTGAATGAAAACTAAAGCGTTTCTTGCATTCATTATACTTCCGAGATTTCTTCCGTAAGTAGACTCTCAGATGCTTAACTAAATCCGAAGTTTCCTTGGCATTACTTGCAGAGGGGCCCTTTTCTGAGTCAAATTCCTCACCCTTACTGCCTCTCCCATGAGTTTTCTTTTGTGTGCCTGCTACTTTCGAACATTCCTTATTGCTACGGCCCTTCTCTAATCTGCCGCGTTTGGAGGATTCTCCCATCAAGCCATAATCACCACACATTAAGTACCTATCTATTGTTTTTTCTAAAGTCGATTCGTCCATAAGAACATCTTGATTTTGAACAGATTCCTTCAATTCACCTCTAGGTTCACACTCTAAAAGAAATAACACAGAATATTTCCTGTTTGCAATAAAGGAAGGTGCCGTATTTGGGACTAAAATAGGAATAGGGGCAGTAATGACTATGAGGATTATGACTTGGACAATTCTCAAATACACTCTATAAAACAAGGAAGGGAAAGTGATATAAAGAAAATAGGTAAACATAGGGGTTAGGAAAAATATTGAGGAAGATGAAAAGTTTGTGCTTTATCGTTAGAAATGCAAGTTTTAACCTCCATTTCAAATTTTGAAAACAGGCTCAAACTTATTCTTCCTGTAACCAATATTCCTTTTTCAAACAATAATAATATTAGTGCAAACATTTATTGAATACTTACCAAATGCCAGGCCAAATATCAAACACTTTACTTGTATTTCACTTAATCTTCACAACAGCTCTATGAAATAAACCCTATTATTATCCCTGTCTTGTGAATGTGACAAGTAGGTACATAGAATGTAAGTAGCTTGCCCAAGGCCACATGTATTATAAGTGGCAGTGCCAGATTTTTAACCTAGTCTGACACTAAAGCCCAGGCTTTTGATCCCTATACTATATTGTTTCTTCTCAAAGCAGTCAAATAGTACTAAGTGTATAGATATGCTATGCAATAACACCTATGCTAGACTTTCAAAGGTAACCACAATCTGGCCCTATCAACCTATGGATACTTTAATCAGGCATCCATTTACTGTCCCTAATATACTACAGCATTTTCAATCCTATTCTTTTATTTTTTAAAAGAAATTTTACTGATTTTTAAAGAGAGAGGAAGGAAGAAGAAGAGAAAGAGAGAGAGAAACATCGATGTGAGAGGGAAACAATGATCAGCTGCCTCGTGCACACTCCCTACTGGGGATGGAGCCACAACGCGGGCATGTATCCTGATTGGGAATTGAACAGGTGACCTTTTATGCATGGGATGATGCCCAGCCAACTGAACCACACCAGCTAGGGCTCAATTCTATTCTTTTAGTGTTAACACTTCACACTACTTAGAATGTAATTCCACAGTACCTTCACTCCCACAAATATATAAATTTGACAGGGCCTAGGGTTCAAGTCGCACAATCTCCACAGGGCCTTTTCTAGTACTATACTCTTTATACCCTTCTCCAAACTTTGAATTCATTTATTAACCATATCATCATCCTGACTCTTAATTATGAGATTACATTGTCACTTTTATAAAATTGTAAACAGAAAACTATAAAACACAAAATTCTACTACCCAACAATTAACTATTATTAATAACTCTGTGTATTTTCTTCTAGAAATTGCTCTATATTTTAGATAGAAAAATATGCATAATATATAGGCTTACTTTTCTTATTCAAAATTCTTTCCCATCTCATTGGTCAGTCTTCATAAAAATAATTTTAATCAGTTACATAACAACTAATTCTATATTATTATATTTATGTGTTAATATTAACATATATTAGCTTATTAACTTTGAATGTTTATCAAATGATAAATATTTCCTCAAAAGAGGAATCATAAAAATAGAATTATTGAACTAAAGGGTAGAAAAGTTATACTATCACATGAAGTATGACGAGCAGAAGTACCTGAGTACTCATCTCCAGTCAAATGATCTTTCTTTAAATCTTTGTGAATATGATTTATAAAAAATAGTATTCCTGCTTTAATGTGTATTTCATCATTGCTCAGTTGGTTGGGCATTGTACTGTGCCGAGGGGTTAAAGGTTTATTCCCAGTCAGGTCACATGTTCAGGTTGGTGGCTTGATCTCAGGTAGAGGGTGTGCAGGAGGCAGCCAATTGATGTTTTGCTTTCACATTGATGTTTCTCTCTCTCTCCCTCCCTTCCTCTCTCTCCAAAAATCGATTTTAAAAAATCTTAAAAAGAAAAATATGCATATTTCATTCTTGACCAGTGACTTAGAGCATTATTTTCATGTCTATAGCTATTTAAATTTTTTTAAATATATTTTATTGATTTTTTACAGAGAGGAAGGGAGAGAGATAGAGAGTTAGAAATATCGATGAGAAACATCGACCAGCTGCCTCCTGCACATCTCCTACTGGGGATGTGCCTGCAACCCAGGTACATGCCCTTGACCAGAATCAAACCTGGGACCTTTCAGTCCGCGCAGGCCGATGCTCTATCCCCTGAGCCAAACCGGTTTTGGCATAGCTATTTAAATTTTAATTTTCTCGGTTATTTTTAATTTTATCAGCTATCTGCTCAAATTCTTTGCCCATGTTTCTAATAGACTCGGTGTTTCTTATTGTTTTACATGAGCTTTTAATAAATTATGGCTATTGACTGCTTTGCCTGTCAAAATCTTTTTTCCTCCGGTCTGTTATAAAATGACTTTTAGACAAGTTGTACATCTAAATGATGCTTCTTTTATATAAGAGGGAAGGACATATATTTGTACCAATATAGACTTTTACCTGCTAGATTTTTAGAATACAAAACATTTTTAGAATCCATTTTTGGAATTACTCTCCCAAATGCTACTTAAACATAAGGCAATTGCTGTCCTTATGGAAACAGCCAATAGGTTGTCTAAAATGAATGGTTAAGAAGATGGAATAGCACAAAGTGAATCTTTTTTTTTCTTTAAAATAAACTAAGCTATTGATATATAAGTAATTATTTTTTAAATGTAAAATTTAAATGTAAATTTTTACATGATGTCCTCTGGATAAATTCACATTGATCCTTCAAGATTCAATTCAGCCCTAACCGGTTTGGCTCAGTGGATAGAGCGTCAGCCTGCGGGCTGAAGGGTCCCAGGTTCAATTCCGGTCAAGGGCATGTACCTTGGTTGCGGGCACATCCCCAGCGGGAGGTGTGCAGGAGGCAGCTGATCGATGTTTCTCTCTCATCGATGTTTCTAACTCTCTGTCCCTCTCCCTTCCTCTCTGTAAAAAAATCAATAAAATATATATTTTTTAAAAAGATTCAATTCAAATGTTAACTAAGCTGTTGCTCCTAATATTTTTCCACTGTTCCTTATACTTGCCATTATAGCATAAATCCCATTACGAACAGTTTTTGTTTTGCTATCTGTATCTATGGTGTCCATAAAAATGCCCTTTTCAGATCTTTTCTGTGGCACTTAACTGGCAGAACAACAGCTGCTGCTGCTCTATGAATCCACCATGGCATTCATGCCTCGGCCACTTTCCCACAGCTGGTCACAGTCGATGACAAGTAGAGCAGGGATACTCAGGCCCATTTCTGTGAGACATAGGACTCTGAGAGGAGACTTGCCAAAACTTCCTTAAACTGCATTTTAGTCTCAGACTCTTCCTACCCACCCCTCCTTCCCTCTCCTTCCCAGGTGTTATACCTACATCACGCTCTGACCTCACTCCCAGCCTCTTCCAGAGCCTGCCCCGTTTTTCACTGCAATTTTTCCTAATAAGTCTCTGGCAAGGCTAATCATGTCATAGCATCTACTTCTCAGAGAACCCAAACTAACAGTCTGTTAAAATGAACATTCCGGGAAGACTACGTGTATATTCTAATCGTCATTCTATGTTAATTTAGCAAGATGGCCCACCCAACATTTCAAAAGGTCTTCCCAAATGACTTGGCAAGCAACTGTTTTAATTTCCTCGTCTACTTTTCGCCAACTCACCTGGTATGGAGCCTTTTGAGACTTCTTTTTCCAGAAGCCCTGGTTCAACCCACGGTAGCTGGGAAATCACATCTAATTTGGTAACTGGAAAGCCTGCTCATAGAGGAAAAAAAAACAACATGAAAAATGTCTGTTTTCCATAGAACAAAGTCAGTCAGCATTCACACATAGAGTCTGGTTCTCCAGGGAAGAGAAGATACTGTCAAATACAGACAGCAATGCTGAAATTTGAAGAGAACATGGGGGAGGTTTGGTCTTGATGAGGGCAAAATGATTCTCAACATTTCCAATTCAATGAAGCAAAGACTCTTTTTTGGAAAAAACTCGGCGGAAAAGTACATTTTCAGGACCCATTTTTAGGATTAATCATATCATTCCTGCATGCCCAGCCAAAACAGTAGCAATTGTCTTTTTTCAAAAATAGTGGCCCAAAAGATACCCAGGTTTGATGCTAAATCATAAAGAGAAGGTGTCTTTACCCAGAAATTCTAGGTGCCTACAGTTCTCCAGTAGCACTTCCTTATATATCTCCTTTTGAAAAGGTTCCAGCTTCCTCCACTCTCCTCTGGAAAAATTCACAGCTATATCCTTGAATGTCATGGGTTCCTAGAACACCAAACACAGTCTTTTTGCATTGGATTATTCCTAAATAGATCCTAAGATTTCAGAAAATATAAACTATTAGTTTTGGTAGTATTTAAATTTCTAAGGATTCCAAAGCAAGCTATCAATACTTACCTATTTCTTTCTTATCGTACTACACTGGCTATTCAGAAAATACTCATTAACAGCAGTAAGTTTAAAACATCCTTATCTTTTTGTGGGCATTATAAGAGCTGCTTTTGATTTTCCAGCTGGGGATGTTTTTTATCATGTTAGGAAATACATTTCTATTTTCACCTGGCTAATTGTATCAGGAATAACTGTTAAATTTTAGCAAATATTTGTTTTTATTAGCGTCAACCTTGTGACAAATTCTCCAGACTGAAAAAAAAAATAGAATGTGAAGAATAACTTTGAAGAATGACAACAGGAGACTGTCTTACTTATTCTATCTAGTATTTTTATACCAGTCAGTAGGAGGTCAGTAAGTATTCACTTAAGAATGAAAACCAGTGAAAGGACACTTACCCCGGACTCAGTATTTGGAAGGACAGAAACCGTTGTATCTTCTTCAGGGTTCTCCTCTTGGGAAATAACAGAATCTTGAGAAACTGGATGGGAAGAAAAAAAATACAGTCCAGGCTTTCAAATGAATTCCTCAGACTAGAAATTCCTATATATGTCTCTGGAGAAAAAGGTCATAAGAAACAGAAAAAGTTTTCTTCTACTCTTTAAAACAGAAAGGAGAGCCATAGATATAGATTCCCATTAAAACCCAAGCTTACCCCCTTACCCTGTAAAATATCCTTTCAATTCCTAAGATCACAAAAAACTGATTTCATTCATTCTATACACCCACAGTTTAATGTATTCAGTTTGCATAATTTACAATATTTATAAGATGCATTAAGGTAAAACCACATATTATATATTAATTTATTTTCTTCATAGTCCTTCCCTTGCACAAGAGTCACTCATTAAATGAAAGCACCAAGCTGGTCTCAAGAACTGACTCCAGCTCTGAAATCACCATCAGATTCCTAAAGACAGAATCAGGAATTTGAACCTATGAACTGAATGTGTTAAATACCCCAAGATGTAGCCCTAGTTTGGCTCCGTAGATAGAGTGTCAGCCTGAGGACTGAAGTGTCCCGGGTTCTATTACGGCCAAGGGAATATGCCCAGGGTTGTGGGCTCGCTTCCCAGTAAGGGGTGTGCAGGAGGCAGCTGATCAATGATTCTCTCTCATCAGTGATGTTTCTAGCTCTCTCCCTCTCCCTTCTTCTCTGAAATCAATAAAAATATTAAATACCCCGAGATATTAACAGTTTCTAATAAAGGCAAAGTGGCTTTTCTTTTAAATCATATTTTACTTTCTTATGAAAAGTATTTTAGGCAGTTTATTGATTAGATAATCAATGGAAGTTAGGAATCAGAATTATGCAATCAAAGAGAAAAAAGGGATTGTTATAAGGAAACTGCTCATTCATGAATTGAATGCTAGAGCAATCAATTCATGAACTTCTTGATTGCAGGGGCCTCCACACAGAGGCCCCAGTTTTGTGGAAGCACCGGTTGCATTGACAGACAAGTCGGAGAGGAGTCAGGAAGACCAAATTTTGGACACCAATGAGCTGTGTGACCACAAATTAAGTCTGTGGAGATAAACACCCATCTATCTCAGAACTCCTGGTAGAATACAAACTGTCATGCATATGTACTGAGAGCCTTATGGTAAATAATATACATAAATATTTGGAATATTTGTAGCATATAGAGGGATTATATACAAGTTGAACCACATGCTCTCAAAAGGGCTAGCCACCCTAGAAGTCTTTTCATCGATATTTTACAATGATGTAATCATGTTGTAATTCATAGTGTCCATTGTATACACTAGTATATAATGTGTAATAATGTAATTATGAAAATGTCAGCTGTTCCCGAAGGCTATGGAACTGTACTATCCAACAGGGTAGTTGCTGGCCACATCTGGCTATTTAAGTTTAAATTTAATTAAAAACTCAATTCCTTATTTGCACCAGCTTGAAGTGCAAAAACAGTGCAGAACACACTTCCATCATCACAGATATTGGGCAGCACCATTCTAGGAATGTGCTGCTGCACACACTGGAGTTAGAAGTTAAGGCCTGGCTGGCTGATATGGTTGTGACTCCAAACATTTCCAGGTAAAGTTTTTCTCTCCTGCGTTCTAAAGTCCCCTCTTGCTCAAGGGAAAGAACTTACTGTTTCTTGAGCATCCACCATGTATTATACTTGCCTTATTTATTCCTCACAACGCTATAGATAAGATGGGATCCCCTTGTTACAGCTAAAAGAATTTAAAGTTCTGAGAGGTTATGTAGCTTCCCCAAGATCACACAGTAAAAGACAGGGAATTCAAACCCAATCCCACCTCCAAACTTAGTCTTATATTAGCCTCCTCTTTAGCAATATATTGCTACCTTTTGGGGAGTTCACTCTCATGTGCTAAGGAGATCTTTCCCACTTCCTCCCTCCATCTATAAATCTCACCTTCCTTTCCTTCAAGCGTTCGGGTCAAATCCTCTATTAAGGTCACCACTTTCTCACTATTCTGAGGGCGTTGTGATTTTACCCAAATCCTGATCTCCCCGGGCAAAATGGACAGGAATTGCTCAAACACCAAAAGCTCTAAAATCTGTTCTTTCGTGTGGATGTCTGGTCTCAGCCACTGAAGGCAGAGCTCCCAGAGCCGATTCAGGGCTTTTCTGGGTCCAGCCTCTTCGGAGTAACAAAACCACCGGAACCTCTGTCTGAGAGACTCTGGGTCAGGAGTGTTTCCTCCCAGGATGGCTTCTTCCTCCCCAGGTGTATCCATTCTCAGGTGCTTGTTTTGTTCATTTGAAGCCAGAGTGGGAGGCTCTGAGCTGATGGCCGTCATCTTGTTCACGGGTATTACCGCTTGCCGTCTGTATCACCAGCAGGAACTCAGTCCCTTTAGACTCTAATTGGATATCAGTACAGTCCACCAACAGGCACTATAAATGGCAAATATCAAGGATTCAGTTTATGGTCTTGTAGGAACTGTCAAGAAATATAAAATATTAAATAAGTGAAATGAATCATTAATCCTAAAAACATTGTTCTTGGTTTGGTTCATAGATTTAGATATATAGATATAATTATACAGGTATATATTCTCAGAGGCCTAAGACAGCCTTGCCCAGCTACTATATTAAAAGCATAATTTTCTTTGTAGGTGAAAAGCCGAGGAGTTACTTAAGGGTAATTAAAGGTCCCCTCGAGAAAAACAGTTTCTTCAGACTCAATACTCCTCATAAGCAAAAGTGATCAGAAAAGGCTCAGGGCTACAGGAAGAAACAGTCGCAAACCTATTCGTCAACTCCTGCCCTCTCTCAGGGAATGGCCACACATTTCCACCAGTTGCTCAACTCAGAAGCCTGATTTCATATTTGCCTAACAAATTTCTCACATAATCAATATCCCAATTCTGGCAGCTTTAATTCCTAAGAACCTCACCATTCTATCCTACTGAAACTACCTAAGGAGTGGCTTCTCCAATCCAGTATCACACTGTAGCCTAAGCAACATAAGATCTCTCCCCAACTGTCTCCAGATAAAATAGAAACGCAGAGGTCAGGCATGATGATCTAGAGACCCTGTCCGCATGACCTCGCCTCTTGAGCTCTACCTAGTGCCCTTGATGGACACTGCAAGAAAAAAAAAAGTACCTCCTCCCACCAAAAAAAAAAAAAAAGCATCTCCCCATTCCCTTCGATCCTTTGCACTAGCGCCATTCCTTCTCCGTGGAATGCTCTCTTCTTTCCCTCTCCAAGCAAAGGTTTTCCATTCTTTAAAACTACCACCTTTCTATCCTTTCATCTGTCCCCTCTGGGTGAAGCTTTCTCTGAACCACAGGTGCTTTTCTGCAGAGCCTGTCCTGTACGGCACGCATTTTTTTCATTCTACAAAGAACGGATCGTCAATGAGCTGGGAACGGGGCGCTCAGGAGGCAGGCAGGATAGGTCGCACAGGGTCCCCGCCCCCACAGAGCACCCAGCCTGGGATGTGCTGCCGCGCAGCCAGTGCCAGAACACTCTCCTCCTACTGCAACTATGGTACCAGCAATTACCCACCTCCGAGCACACAACCCGGCACACGGTACGTATGACGTCACTTATTCCTCGGCCAAATATTAGGCGCCGACCACGAACCCGGCGCCTTGCTGGGCATCTGGGGCTCTGCGGCGACTAAGACACTCCTCTAGGTCTCCAGGGAGCTTACAACAGAAGCACCGAGAAAATGTGACGCAGGCAGAAATAAGTTCTCCAATGGGGGTGGTAGTGGGGAGGGGGAACAGGTGGGGATTTGCCTCACAGGGAGCCTTGGCAACGCTGAAGACATGTTGGTTGGCACGACTGGGGAGGAGAGATGCTACAGGTACCTAGCGGGTAGAGCCGGGGATGCCGCTAAACATCCTGCCATACAAGGGACAGCCGTCCTCCCCCCACGCACACATAACAAGGAATCTGCCCGCTGAAAATGCAAAAGTACCTAAATTGCTAGACCCCGGGAGCAGGGAGGGGGTGGGGGAGAGCTCGGTAATTTAGGAGGGTGGCCACCTCCCACCGGAGCTGCGGGATTGGGAGCGCAATATCCCAATATCCCTCGGCACCCACCCCTACCCAAGTGCATCCTCGGAGCCGGCGACCTGGTGGTGGCCCCCAAATGAGGGGCCCTGGGCAAGCACTACCTGCATCAGGACCAGCAGCCAGGACCAGCGCTACCGCAATGAGCTTCCAGAAGCTGGTCCTGCAGTAGCTGCGCGCGCAAGCCGGCGGGGGACCACTGCGCCTGCGCACGGGCGCAGAACTACGATTCCCGGGGTGCGCTCCTCTCGCTGTGCGAAGCCCTGCGCTTTCCATAGGCTCCCACCCGGGCCTGTTGCGCGCGATCATTGGGAAGCGGCCGGTGGGCTCGGCCACAGAATTATTGCTGCGCCAGAGGCCTCAAGGCCTAGAACATTCTGAGGTTTTCACATCGATGATGTTATATCTCCTTGGTAACCTCAAACCGTGTCGCCCCCCTCCCCTCCCTATCCATCCCAAATCGAGGCTGGGAAAACCCACCGCAGAAGCGTCTTAGTGATGCATTCAATGCAAGCCACGATTCATGCTGCAACTTGAATTAAACAAACATTATTTTTATGACTTTCAACCTGCCGCCATGGTCCAAAACACCATCATGCTTCGCCTGAATGATTGCAATAGCTTCTTGATTTCACTCTTCTTCACAACACAGCCAAAGAGATGCTTAAAAAACGGAGCACAGAGTATGCCCCTCCTCTGCCTGAAACCCTGCAAAGGCTTCCCATTTCACTCAGAGTAAAAAAATCATATTTTTGCGGAGGCCTATAAGGCCCATGGAATCCGGCCACCCATGACTTCCCTGACATCTTCCCCCACTTCCCTGCTCCAGTCACAATGGCCTCCTCACTCTCCTCTCCCTCCAACCTGCCTGGCACTCCTGGCTGACATGCTCCTCACAGAGGTAGCAGTATGTTTCACTCTGCTGATCCTTCCTATCTTCTCAGTGACGACCTCCCACCACTATCCCTATATTGCAACCCCACCCCTTCCCACTCCTGTTTCCCCTGCTAACAGATCATATACTAGTAATTGTCTTATTTGTTTACTACTCATTGTCTGTCTTCTTCACTAGAATTGTTACAGAAAACCAGAGAAGAACCAAGCAACGCTTAGATAGATGGAGTTACATTTATTATTATTACGGGTGGGCCCAGAGGAAAATGTCTCTCAAATTCTGGGCGAAATCACACAGGAAGTTTCATGTATTTATACCATCTTATCCTCTTTGTCTCCCAAATATGGGGTTCTGTTCCAGTCCCCTTTGCAAGTTCTTAAAGAGCTCCTATGTGCTGGCGCTTTGAGACCTCGACCAAAGGCTTGGCCTGACGCCAGCACTGATAACTTTGTCTGGAGAAGGTTTAATGGCCTCTCTGAAATGGGAGTAGTCTTATTTTCCTTATTATTTAAGCCAGCAAGCATTTACAGAAGCCAGAAATAGCAGGGTTAAAATTTCAACAGCAGTTTTTATATAAGATGGATGCTTCAGAATATCAGTTCCACAAAATAAGGATTTTTATCTGGTTTGTTCCATGGAAGTACAACCCCCCTAGTCCAAGCAGTGCCTGACACATAGTCGGTGCTGAATAAATATTTGGTGACTTTCTGGGCACTTGTATGAATTACTAAGGGCATAGCCAAAAGCTCCTCTGAGGAACTCTAGAGGATTATTTGGAGGGTCCTAATAACTAGATGGCTTTTGGAGGGGTGGAATGAGGAGAAAAAGATTGAAGGAGCAGGATGGGACAGACCAAGCTCAACTAAATGAAGCCGCTGGGTTTGTTTCAAAGGCAGCAAGGCAAGCTGTGGAGGCAGGGCTGCCTCAGTCAAGAAGCAGCTACATCAGTCCCAGGTCTGAACGCATATTCTTCTCCACCTACCTCAGCTTGGGTGGCTGAAAATGGAGGGGCATCAACGAGTAGCTGGTGAAAGTAGAGGAACATGGAATGAAATCGGCTCATTAGTTTAACTGGGCAGGTCAGAGAAACAGTCGTGGTTCTCAAACTTCAATGTACCTTACAATTACATGGTATTCTTCATTTGAATACAAATTTTGAGACCCTCCTCCCATACAACCTGTTGCAGGTGATCCTTGACTACACTTTGAGACACACTGCATTAGTTGAAATATTCTGTAATTAAATGATGCGCTACATATGAATAAATTACCAGGAAAGAATGAACCCTTCTTGGAACTGGTGGCCAAACTGTACATTTTTATTCAAAGCAACCATCATGGTAAAGAGTGGTGGATTGTGCATCAGTAAAGAAAGAGCAAACGACAAACAAATCAATAAGCTGGTGGGATCTCTAACCAGGATAAATAGACTTAGGAATACTTTAAGCAAATAAATGGGCTTCTTGCTTGTTTGTTGTTGGGTTTTTGGGGTTTTTTTTTTCTAGCGGTTTTGGCTTCAGTACGGAAAATAGATTGGAAAGGGTAAGGCTGGAGACAAAGTTGATGCACTATGTGGCAAATTATATTTTGTAAAGATAGCTGCACCAATATATCCATATCCCATCTGGATATATATTCTTACAATGTGATGTTAAAGTCCTTCCATTGAGAGGAGGTATCGATGTTTCCTCCCCCTTGATCTTGGGCTGACCTCTGTAACTACCTGAGCCAATAGAATGCAATAGAAGTGACACTGCCTGGCTTCTAAGACTGGGGATATCCATGTAACCAGCATCCATCATCCCAGAAGCCCCACTTGCTCTTTACTCTCTTTCAGTCATCTCCCAAGGGTGACTGAAACAGAGCAGAATAGTTTTGTTTTCATACCCTAGAATCTAGAGTCTACATAACGTGAATCATATATCTACTCTTTGTATATAGCTTCTTTCATTCACATTATATCTGTGAGATTTATCAGTATTGTTGCATGTGGTTATAAATCAATGAAAATCATTTTTGTTTTCATTGCTGCACAGTATTCCCCTGTGGCCTGTTATTTCTATTAAAATTTCTCTCATTCACAATTTCTTGCCCAGCCTCTGTTCCCCTATAGACAGGTGGGGAGGAAGTGTGTGTGTGTGTGTGTGTGTGTGTGTGTGTGTGTGTGAAGGGGCCAATCTGTCTAGTTTTCCTGCCTTTCTTCAAGAATCACCCACTTTAGCCCTAACTGGTTTGGCTCAGTGGATAGAGCGTCAGCCTGCAGACTGAAGGGTCCCAGGTTCGATTCTGGTCAAGGGCATGTACCTTGGTTGCGAGCACATCCCCAGCGGGAGGTGTGCAGGAGGCAGCTGATCGATGTTTTTCTCTCATCGATGCTTCTAACTCTCTATCCCTCTCCCTTCTTCTCTGTAAAAAAATCAATAAAATTTTTTTTTTAAAAAAAAAGAATCACCCACTTTAAAACAAACTGAAGAGCCACGGTCCTGCCTGCTCCTCCTCACCCATGTTGTACAGAAATGACACGCAGGGCAGGGAAGGGTCCTGCCCAAGGTCACTCGGCTGGTAAATTGGCAGCGAACTAGCTTTGAGGAGAAGCCTTCTAGGAGGGGGAAGCGCATCTTCCCCCATAGTTGGAGGGAGGAGGACAGCCTAGGAGTTCAGGAGAGGAGTTTTAAAAGTTTTGTTTAAATGCCAAACTCTATCCAAAAGAAATACTACAGATGAAAGAGGAGTTTTCCTGACTGAAGCCCTGTGTTTCCCACCAGGCAGCCTTGGAGATGTCTCCTTAGGACCCTGAAGGCTTCTGAACTCCTACAGTTTGAGTTGCCTCAAGGACACCAAGTCCCCACCTCCTAGTGCCTCTGGCCCTGGCTCAGCTGAGACCACCAAGTATATAATGAGGGGGTAGGGATGGGCAAAAATGGGTGAAGGCGGTCAAAAGGCACAAACTCCCATTTATGAGATACTAGAGACCCAGTGCATGAAATTTGTGCGGGGGGAGGAGGTGTCCCTCAGCCCAGCCTGCACCCTCTCCAATCCAGGACTCCTCAGAGGATGTCCGACTGCCAGGATCAGGCCTAAACTAGCAGTCGGTCATCTCTCTCACAATCCTGGACCGCTGGCTTCTCACCACTCACCTGCCTGCCTGCCTGATCGCCCCTAACTGCCCCTGCTTGCTGGCCTGGGCGCCCCCTAACTGTGCCCCCTGCTGGCCTGGTCACCCCCTAACTGCAACCTGCCGGCTTGATTGCCCCTAACTGTCTCTGCCTCGGCCCCCGCCACCGTGACTTTGTCTGGAAGGAAGTCAGATATCCGGAAGGTGTTTGGTAAACCCAGTCTAATTAGCATATTACCTTTTTATTAGTATAGATTACAGTCCTGGGGATGTAATGGACAGCATGGTGACTATAGTTAGTACTGGATTATATGAAAGTTACTAATGTTACTGGAAAGGAGATCTGGCCCTTAGCGGGTCTGCCTAGGGCCAGCTGGTAGTGTGTGGGTTCTTGACTTCATGCAGGAAACATTTCACAACACAAGTGCAGGTGAATTTTAGAGGATGTTTTTAAAGCTGAGACAGTAAAACAAGAAAGGGGTGGGGAAATGAGCCTGGCTGGTCTGCTTTGGCTCACTGAGCCAGAGAAAAGGGGCCTTGGGGACAGGTTCAGGGGGTTTGTCTGGGGCGAACTGCCACTGCCCATTGCTGCCCTGGCTGCAAGCCTGGTTGGCAAATAGCACTAATTGAATTTCTGCCATCTGTCTCCCTGAGTAGGGCGATTTAAGCTATTACCTGTTGGATGGGGAGAAGTGCAAATCATTTACTCTGAAATGTCCCTGGTTTAGGGAAGATAGGATTTACGAGGTGGCCGCAAACTGCTTGGCATTTAGATTTTCTAGATGGCTGCAAACTGCTGTTGAACTATCTGTCTTAGTTTCTGTATTCTGCTTGTCCTGGCTTACATCACAAGAAAAAACAAATTGTTAACTATGTGGTGATGGATATTAATTAAACTTATTGTAACTGTTCTGTAACACACACATATATAGTATACCTAAAACTTATAACTTATACAATAGTATACATCAATTATGTTTCCATGAAAAAACATATATATATATATATATCTATCTATCACTGGTAAACTTTGAGAGTAACACTTGAGCTTTATCAGGATAAAGTGAGAAGCCAGAATGCAAAGGATTAAAGACTGTTTACCATAAGATTCCTTAAAGAAAATAGACTAAGGCAAGGTAAGAG